ACAGGGGAAGGATGGAAGTGCCAGTTGCTTGAAGGGCCTGGTGAGAAGATCCAAGGGAAGAAAGTCTAGCATCTAGAAAGTACAGGCTCCCACGTGCTTTACTACTTCCAATCGTTCTCCTCGTACCTAGTTCCTGAAAAACACAATGAGAAGGATAAAAGGTTATGGAACAGTTTAGCGAATTGGTAAGACGACTAACAGAGAGTAAATTAGTAGAAAACTGGGGAACTTGAAGAATAGAAGAAATAAAAATAAAAGAAGAGTAATGAACAGAGCCTGTCCCAGACATAGAAGATAATGACCCATCAGCAACTTTTACTTTATCTTTGCCAGAACAAGGAGAGTAAGAGTGGAAAAGATGAGACAAACCTGTCATGTGGTGAGTAGCGCTAGAGTCAATGATCCAAGTAGATGAAGGAGAGGAAGCACTCAAGGCACTCGTAGGAATACCTGTGGAAGCAAAGTTGAAAGTAGAGGGAGGATCAGAAATAGGGACAGGAAGAATCAAGCCGAGCCATCAGACGCTGCTGAAAAGTGTGCAACTGATCTTGGAAAAGTGTAGCAGAATCACCGGGGGTGATGGTAGAAGACTCAGAGAGATTGGCATAGGAATAGCGCCACCACGTTCACTAGTACCACTACGGGCTCCACTCCGGCCTCAAGGAGGATGACCATGTAACTTTCAACAATGTTTCCTATCATGCGGGTCTTTCCCACAATAATCACATGTAATCTGACCAGATTAACACTAGTACCTTTGTTCCCAGACTTGGAGACATGGTCATCCTTTGGAGCAGAAGAAACAGTAGGAGCAGAGCTATCTTAGAGAGTTTGATGAACCATAGCACTATGCCTGCTCTCTTCTTGCTGAACATAAGCATATGCCTCACGCACAGTAGAAAAAGGATCTCGGCCAAGAATTTGAACACGAATCTGATCATACTCAATGGTAAGGCCAACAAGAAAATCGTAGACCCTCTTTGGACACCATCAGCTGAAAGGTAGTAGTATCTTGAGAACAAACAGCTTGGAAGTTCTGATAATAGTCGAGCTCTTGCCACAAACTACTCAACTCGGCATATTACTCGGTAAGAGACCTATCCTTCTAATCAAACCCCTGTATTTTCTTCCGTAACTCATAGGCCCGGGCATCATTACCACACTGGGAATACATTTGAGCAGCGACAGTCCAAATCTCATAAGCTGTATCCATCAAAATAAAGGAGCGGCTAATACTGGAGTGGATAGAATTAATGAGCCAAGTCATGATAAGAGCATTTTCCTTTTGCCGTTTATCTTGGGCTGGTCCATCCTCCCTGGGAGCCTTAGTAATCCCCTTGATGTAACTAGACATGCCACGAGCAGTAATGGCCAATTGAAAGGAACGCAACCAAACCAAATAATTGGTACCTTCCAACTTGATTGAAGTAAGTTGGAGAGAGGAATTATCACCAAGAGAGACATTGGAGCTAGATTCTTTCACTTCGCTAACTACAGGAGTCTTACCATCATCTGCCATGGCCTAGAATAGTGCTAGCACACCCAACAAACAAGACAACCGTAGGAATCTATCAAAAGAAAATTGTTTCTCAACAGAAACAGCCCAACAACATTAAAAAAAGGACTAGAAAAATAGTGGTTGAAGCAAAGGAGCAACACGCAGACCTTGGAAGGAGCCCGACAGCTTTGTGAAGCCAAAAAACAATAAAAAACCATCTAGAAGCATCAACCAAAGCTAAAGAGCATCCTAGGTCATCTGGTTGGTTCCCGTAGGTGTGGACCCAAGTGATGAATCGATTAAAAAATTGACAAAATGAAGTCGTCAAAAAATCGGACCCATTTTCCTAGAAAATAAAGAAAAATTGAAAAAATAGGCACCCAAAAGCCTTATTTTTTATTTTTCTGGTGAACCCTCTACCCTAGTCGTTCATGGTGGTGATTTTTTTTTTTTAAACATTGTCAGGCAGAACATAAATCCTTTTGCTCTGATACTAAGTTAAGAATGAAACACAAGAATTGAAACAGAGAGAAGAGAGCTAGAGATTTACTAGAAGAGAGGCACAAAACCTAATTAGGTTTCTTACTTCTCTAAACACGTGTTTATAATAATAAGCGAATAAGTACAATGACACTTTACCCTCAAGCACATACCTTAACACTAAATGATTAAGTGATTTGTTTAGAATAAAATGGTTTGTTTTGCAACTTTTTATTTATATTTATATGTTATATAAGGCAACCACCTAGGTGCTTGTCTACCATGAAGGGCGTACCTAGACTCACCTAGTTCTTTTGATGACCAAGATACATATTTTTGACGATGGCTTCCACCATATTATATTATTGCTAGTTTGGTTTGCATGCTTCTATCAATGACATTCTTGCTAGGATTTGCATAAATATTATGGGTTTTTACCAGTGTTATTAAAGACGTGCCTAGGCGTGTGCCTAGGCCCAAGTCTTATCTAGGCGTAGTCAGTGAGCTTCAGAACATCTCAGGCCAAACGATGTAAAACATGTCCCAAAAAGGCGCATGAAGCATGCGCTTTGGGCTTAGGCTCAAGGAGCATGACTTGTGCGCTTCTTTTAAAATATTTATTTATTACAATTACTACCCTTGATTTCACTTTATCTCATTATTTTTTGTTTACATGTTGCTACAAGGGATTAAACTCTTAAACATATATTGCAACCCAATAATTTTTGAGCCCTAATTATACAAAGACGTTGATTGGATATAGAGCTTTGTCTTTGACCAGACCAACAGTTGTCGTTATTCTCCTTCTCCTTCTCCTTCTCCTTCTCTATGCTTATCTTATAAGGCACTTTGATTTTGTCGCTATTTTCAAATGTTTATGATGTATGAGTTTGATGATTGTGTTTATGCGTAACCTTGAATTATTTATTTCTCTACAATAAAATATTGGTGTTTGTTAGTATTTATGTTTTAAATATTTAATATTACATTTTACTTATGTTGAACCTTGAATTGTTTTCTTATATTAAATTATCTATTTTTTATCATCAATATGAGCCTTGCTTCAATGAAGCCTGCGCCTTGCCTTGCCTTGCGCCTAGGCCCTAGGAAACCTTGGCGCTTCAGAGTGTCTATCACCTTTAAAAACAATGGTTTTTACTATATTAGTTCCCAAGGATGACTTTGCCAGAATTAGCTTGAATTTTTGGATTTTGATTGTATTATTTACTTGGATGACTCGGCTCTCCCATTCCTGTTAGTTTTTTGATGCCTGATGGACTAGTTCCTAGGAATTCAGGATCTTTGCTTCTTTTCTACTTCCTTACTGACTTAAAGCCTTCCTCTTCGATCTTAATGATCCTAGTGATCTAATAGCTTTTCGTGAGCTCAATTCATTGTAGTTTTATTTTTCCTTTTGTTTGGTAAGTACAATAGTGGATTGTTAGCCGGATTCAAATAATTGTGGCTGACTACAAGGTGATATATAGCTTGATGATAATAGGAAGTTGGATGTTAGGATGTATGACCAAATTCATCTTGGCATATTGATTACTGATGTACCAATTATTATCTACTAGAAGACCTACGCACCTAACTCGCACAACTGAAATTGCTATGGGAAATCATGGGGAGAGTGGAGAGAGTAGTGGGCAACTGAACACAGTAGTCGATTGATTTTACTTTTTAATCCTTAAAGTAATTGCTAGGCAAACTAAATATTTGGAAAAAATATAGTATCGTTGTGTTTTTTTCTTTTGACATCAAAAGTATGTGACAAAGTTCACACCAATGCGTTAAAATCTCGAGTTACTCGGTTAAAACGTCAGGTCCTCCTGGGGTTTACACCACCCTCCGCCCTCTCTGTGTGAGAAGCGGTTTGGCATGGAGCGTTTTGCCCACTCTACGTGCGACGTAGTCTAGCTTGTATTTTTTCAACCCTTCCTACGTGAGGTGTAGTTAGGTCTATTTTTTTTTTTCCTTACGTGAGACGTGCCTGTTTATTCACTTCTTTCCGTGTGAGACACGGCGGGGTTTATTTTGCTCTGATTTACATTTTCATTCAAACGTTGCGTTCTTGTTTAGATTGTAGCGCTGTTTCATTGCTTCATTTACATTCGAATGTTTCATTGCATTGTTTCATTGGTGTTTCAGTGCATGATCATAGGTTGTTTGCTGCATTTCATTTTTGCATTTTGCCCTTTAGTTCAATCTTTAGCTTTTATGATGGTTGACTTGTAGCTGCATCAGATGATTCGGATTGATGTCAGAATAGATGATCCAAAGAATCATTTGTCTATTGTTTCATCTTCTAGATTCTCACCTTTTCAATCTCAGTTCTTCATTAATATCACTTTATCAAGACTGTTTTCAACTCAATTCAACAGAGACTTGTCCAACTACACGGATCCTGTTGAGAGCCATAACGTCTATTAAACACGTGCTACCATGTCTTTCCTTTCATTACCTCATCCACTTTAACGATCTTTCCTTTGGCATTTCTCTCAACTTGGACCATGTCAAGTTGAAAAACAGGGAGGATGCCAGTAAACAGGTGGCAGCTCATATAGAAAAAGTTATATGTGGGTTCAATTTAAGTTTTTCGCTTAGCTGTTATGCGAGTCTAGAAATGAATCAAGGGCTTTTTGGTGAATCTCTGGATTTCATTTTTAGGGAGGAAGGGTGCATGTGCTGTTTTATTATATATATTTAGTTAATTATTTTCAGTTGATAGGATAGCTGCTAAATATACTTGTTATGGGCTTTAGCTGTCCTCTGTTTATTATCTTCTTGTTTCTTTACTTTTTTGGTTCACATGCTTCTATACTGTTCTAAGACATCCAATCTTGAATGTGGGGTTTCTCATTTGCATGGTTCATAATGTCAGTCTTTCAGTAGTTTCTTTTTACATGTTAGACAGGTTTTATCAGAATTGGATGCTCTAAATTGAACAATTACCATGCAATTATTAGTTAGCATGACTTGCAGGTTCTGACATTGCTTATGTTTGTTAACTAATCTACAGGACTGTTTCAATAGGCTCACAAATTTATTTCATTGGCAACAATGTGATACGAACATTACAGATTTCATGGCACCCTTACAGTGACACCCATGTGGGAATATATTGGTGTTTGTTGGTATTTATGTTTGCTAACATTCCTCGTTGACAATTGTTTGGGTGGTGTTGACCTAGGGTGAGATTTCATGGCACCCTTATAGTCACAACTTTAAATTTTGTAGAGCCTGTTTTGATTTACAAATCATTGTTCCCCCATCCTTTTATACTGTTTTCCTTGAATTCTATTTTACCTTCTTAACAAGTTAAACCTTTCAAGTAATTGTTCTGAAAAAAAGGTATATGTTGATTTCAACTTCAACTTCAATTATTTATTTGAATGATTTCAAATGCTAGTGTTCATTTGGCAACTTGGCCTTTTTGGTGGCTTTTTGGCTTTTTATTGGAATGATTTTTTTAGTTATATAGATTGTTGTGAGGAAAAAAATGATTGATTGATGTGTATGATGTGACATTTTGACCTTTCTAGCCAAAAAGATAGCTGCCAAATGGGGCCTAATAGTTTGTGCTAATTTTCATGTCATTCAATTTTTAAGATTGATGTTCAACTAGTGTTGAAGGCTAACTTGAAAACTAACATTGATGTTTTTCACAAGTGTTGGAAGGCTATAGAAGCTCACATTCACTCTCAAAAGGCCATTGAACACTTCATTTTTAGAGTGTTTATGAAGTGTATAAACACTTGCTCAACTTTAAGGAATTCGAAATGTGGGCATTTAATAGTTTTAGATTTCATAACAAGCTAAAGTTGGCTAGCTAAATTTTTCGAGTTAGTTGGCCAAGCCAATTAGGCTTGTATTTTGAAATCCAGTTTGGTTGGCCACGACTTAGGCCTTGGTTGGTGAACCTATGCATTGAATATAGACACTCTTTACTTTTGTTAGCCAACTTGTATGGTTTGGCTGACCATGTAATTTAAGAGAGTACAAAGCTTGAGTAATGATTATGATATTATCCTTTTTTACATTAATCAATCAACTGTTACAAAAGGAAGCTCTAAGGCACTGATTAAGGAATCACTTTTTATATTGATTGATTGATTGATTGACTGATTAAGGAATCACAATCAATCAATCAATCACAATCTAATCTAAACATGGAAATAAGGAAATATTCTAACACTCCCCCTCAAGTTGGTACGAAGATATCTCGCATGCTCAGCTTGCTTAGAATATCATGAAATGGTTTACTCCCAACTTCCTTGATGAGGATGTCTGCAAGTTGTTCGTCTGACTTCACAAAAGGAGTACATATCATGCCGCTAGTAAGTTTCTCCTTAACGAAGTGGTGAACAATACATGTTTTGTCCTGTCATGTTGAACAAGATTGTGAGCTCTGTCATGTTGAACAGGATCGTGAGCTATGTTGATGGCAGCCTTATTATCACAATATAGCCGCATAGAGTCTGTCTGGCCTAGCCCAGATCACTTAACAACAGTTTGATCTACAAGAGTACTCCTCCAAGTAACAAGATGACACACATACCTTGTGTCATAGCTCTAAACTCAACTTCTGCACTAGATCTAGCTACTACATTATGTTTCTTACTCCTTTAAGTAACAAGATTGCCGCCCACAAAGGTACAATATCCTGATGTAGATCTCTTATCAGTTATTGACCAATCAACATCTGTATAGGCTTTCACTCTGAAGTGATCATGTTTGGAAAAGTAGAGGCTCTTTCCAAGAGAAGATTTCAAGTATCTTAGAATTCTTATAACAGCCTTTAAGTGAATTTGATGAGGAGTATGCATAAACTGGCTAACCATACTGACAGCAATAGCAATATCAGGACGAGAGTGAGATAAGTAAATGAGCTTACCCACTAGTTGCTGATAACTCCCCCTGTCAACAGCTGCTCCTCCTCCTTCATCATTACCAAGTTTCTGATTAGGTTCCAGTGGGGTATCACATGCCTTACATTCAAACATTCTTGTTTCCTTCAAAAGGTTAAGAACATATTTCCTTTGTGAGATGAAAATCCCATCCTTGGAGCGAGCAACTTCGATTCTCAGAAAATATTTCAAGTTCTCCAAGTCTTTGATTTCAAACTCACAAGTTAAATATTTCTTCAACAGGGTTATTTCCTCACTATCATCGCTTGTAAGCACTATGTCATTCACATAAACAATGAGAGCTGTAGTCTTACCACGTGAGGAATGTTTCATAAACAAAATGTGATTTGCCTGACTCTGTTTGAAACCATATTTACGTGTAGCTTGAGTGAATCTCTCAAACCAAGTCTTTGGAGACTGTTTGAGACTATATAACGATTTCCGAAGCCTGCATACTTTACGCTCTGTCTGATGATCCTCAAAACCAAGAGGAATGTCTATATATACCTCTTCTTCTAGATCAATGGAATCATCTGCTTCACAGTACACCCATTTGCATTCCACCGGTCGTTTGCCTTTAGGTAACTTAGTTAATTCCCAAGTGCCATTCTTACGAAGTGCTTTCATTTTCTCAATCATGGCATGTTTCCATTCAGAGGTAGCGAGAGCATCCTGAAAATGGTTAGGAATACTAACAGAGGAAATGTTTGACACAAAGGTTCTATAAGAGGAAGACAAATGAGAGTAGGACACAAAGTTTGAGATAGGATGTTGAGTATAAGATTTCACATCCTTTCTCTTGGCAATAGGAATATCAAGATCAGTAGTGTCAGGAATAGCAATATCAATAGACTCAAGAGAAACAAGAGGTTCAAAGTTATTTGGACTCTTATCAGAAGCAGGAGATTGCAGTGGGTGAGCAGAAGTGGTCTCTTGTATCCAAGTAACTTTCTGTTTGCCTTTGTCCCTGATATAAACTTGCCCTACCTTGTCGTTGGTGGCATTGGATTCTATAGTCCTAGTAATAGGTGGTGCAAGAACAACCGGTTTCACCATAGGAGCAATAGGGACAACATGAATCTCTTCACACTAAGGCTCCCCTTGAAGGGATGACTGTGGCACCGGAGAAGACAAGAAGTAGGATTGAGACTCAAAGAAGGTGACATTCATGGACACAAACCACTTATGAGGAGGGTGATAACAGTTATACCCGTTTTGAGTAGGCGAGTATCTGAGGAAAACACATTTGAAAGAACGAGGGTCAAATTACCACGAGTAGGAGAATGATTGCGACAAAACAGACACAACCAAATACTTTAGGGAGAATGGAAAACAAAGACTTTGAACTGAGAAGGACTTGAAGTGAAGCTTGTTTTTGCAAAACCTGGGTAGGAAGACAATTAATGAGATAGACTGCGGTGAGAACAGCCTCTCCTCAGTAGGACCGAGGCTTACTCATAGAAAAACACATCCAGCGAACCATATCAAGAAGATGACGATTCTTATGTTCTGCAACCCCATTTTGTTGAGGGGTATTAGTGCAAGATGTTTAATGTATAATGCCATGAGTGAAAAATGGCTCTCTAACTCCGAGTCGATGTATTCACCTTTATTATTAGAACGTAAGATTTTGACAATTGCCCCAAACTGAGTACAAATCATTTTATGAAAATTTTGAAATACAGAGAAAACCTTACTTTTTTCTTTTATATGATACACCCAAGTAGTATGAGAAAAATCATTGATAAAAGTAACAAATCATCTATGGCCTTTTAAAGATATAACACGAGATGAACCCCACACATCAGAATGTATTAAAAAAAAAGAGCTAAACTTTTATTAAGACTTGGAGCAAAAGAAGCGGTGTTGTTTGCCAAGTTGACAAGGCTCATAAAGAAACTCAGACACATTATTGTTTGTAAAAACAGATGGAAATAAATGCCTAAGTAAATGAAAAAAAGAATGTTCAGGATGCCCATGCCACAGTCTTAAATCCTCCTTGGTGGTTGGGAACTGGATGGAATGATGAGCAAGTTTGTTCAGCTAATCCAAGAAATAGAGACCATTTTTTGCACTACAACTGCCAATCGTCCTCCTCGTGACAAGGTCCTGAACAGGACAATGATCAGGAAAAAATATCATACTACAGTTCAAATCCTTAGTAATACGACTCAAGGATAGAAGATTAACAGAAAAATTGAGAATGTGGAGCACTGAAGACAGGTAAGGTAGGGGTAACATGAATTAAACATTTCCTAGAGATAGAAGAAACAGGAGCATCTGCAATCCTAACTTTGTCTTGACCTGAAGACGGCATACATGTTGAGAAAAGGTCAGAAGACCCCAGTCATATGATCTAAGGCACCAGAATCAATAATCTTTGGCAAAAACTTATAGGAAAGAAAAGCACTAGGAGAAGAGGTCATGTTACTTGAGCACGCAAACAACGAGGAAGATGCACCGGGAGCAATAGAAGATCGGCGAGTCAGCAAATGATGCAGAACATCCTCATTCAAGAGAAGTCATACTAGATAAACTATCAGAAGTCAGACCAACTGAGGTAGATGTAGAATCAAGATTGTCAACGGCACTAGACTAATGGACCCGTGGATTTGAGCTATGTCCTCTAGACTAGCCTGATTGACCGCCTCTAGTACTAGACCGATCACCCCAACTCCTTGATGGAGCCCCATGAAGCTTCCAACATGTCTCACTAGTATGTCGCAGCTTGTGGCAGTAATTGCAGAACACAGTTTGATCATCATATCAGGAATGTTGGAAACTGATGTCAATCGTGTCTGAGTTACCTTCTTTCTTTAGCCACTGCCAGTTCTTTGGCATTAATGTGAGCTTATCTAATTATATTGCATTATGGGTCATCTTGTATGCGATTGATAGTTATAATTCTGAAGCATATGATTTTTTCTTACATGTGGGAATCTTTGCTTGGTGATACAATTTTTCCCTATTTTCATGGCAGTTTATTTTTGTTGTTTTCTTGGAGATGCCAAATCTGAATCTTCTTTTAATATGATTGAGACTCAAAGAAGGTGACATTCATGGACACAAACCACTTATGAGGAGGGTGATAACAGTTATACCCGTTTTGAGTAGGCGAGTATTTGAGGAAAACACATTTGAAAGAGCGAGGGTCAAATTACCACGAGTAGGAGAATGATTGCGACAAAACAGACACAACCAAATACTTTAGGGAGAATGGAAAACAAAGGGCTTGTTTGGTTTGATTTTGGGAGATGAGTTTGGGAGATAAAAAGTACGAAAAGTTGTTTGGTTTGGTTTTTTTGGAAAGATGTTTTGGAAAATTATTTTGAGAAAGAGTTTTGGAAAAAATGATTGATTTGATGTGTATGAGAGAGAGATTTGTTTGGAAAACTTGTTTGGTTTACAAGTTTTGGGAAATTTTTTTGGAAAAATTTGTTTGGTTTGAGTTTTTCTGAAAACTCATTTGTAGAGAAATTTTCCCAAAAATTTTTGGGAAATTCAAACCAAACGAACCCAAAGACTTTGAACTGAGAAGGACTTGAAGTGAAGCTTGTTTTTGCAAAACCTGGGTAGGAAGACAATTAATGAGATAGGCTGCGGTGAGAATAGCCTCTCCTCAGTAGGACCGAGGCTTACTCATAGAAAAACACAGCCAACGAACCATATCAAGAAGATGACGATTCTTATGTTCTGCAACCCCATTTTGTTGAGGGGTATTCGTGCAAGATGTTTAATGTATAATGCCATGAGTGAAAAAATAGCTCTCCAACTCCGAGTCAATGTATTCACCTTTATTATTAGAACGTAAGATTTTGACAATTGCCCCAAACTGAGTACAAGTCATTTTATAAAAATTTTGAAATACAGAGAAAACCTTACTTTTTTTCTTTTATAAGATACACCCAAGCAGTACGAGAAAAATCATTGATAAAAGTAACAAATCATCTATGGCCTTTTAAAGATATAACACAAGATGAACCCTACACATCAGAATGTATTAAAAAAAAGAGCTAAACTTTTATTAAGACTTGGAGCAAAAGAAGCGGTGATGTTTGCCAAGTTGACAAGGCTCATAAAGAAACTTAGACACATTATTGTTTGTAAAAATAGATGGAAATAAATGCCTAAGTAAATAAAAAAAAGAATGTTCAAGATGCCGATGCCACAGCCTTAAATCCTCCTTGGTGGTTGGGAACTGGATGGAATGATGAGCAAGTTTGTTCGGCTAATCCAAGAAATAGAGACCATTTTTTGCACTACTACTGCCAATCGTCCTCCTCGTGACAAGGTCCTGAACAGGACAATGATCAGGAAAAAATGTCATACTACAGTTCAAATCCTTAGTAATACGACTCAAGAATAGGAGATTAACAGAAAAATTGGGAATGCGGAGCACTGAAGACAGGTAAGGTAGGGGTAACATGAATTAAACATTTCCTAGAGATAGAAGAAACAGTACCATCTGCAATCCTAACTGTGTCTTGACCTGAAGAGGGCATACATGTTGAGAAAAGGTCAGAAGACCCCAGTCATATGATCTAAGGCACTAGAATCAATAATCTTTGGCAAAGACTTATAGGAAAGAAAAGCACTAGGAGAAGAGGTTATGTTACTTGAGCACGCAAACAACGAGGAAGATGCACCGGGAGCAATAGAAGACCGGCGAGTCAGCAAATGATGCAGAACATCCTCATTCAAGAGAAGTCATACTAGATAAACTATTAGAAGTCAGACCAACTGAGGTAGATGTAGAATCAAGGTTGTCAACGGCACTAGACTAATGGACCCGTGGATTTGAGCTATGTCCTCTAGACTAGCCTGATTGACCGCCTCTAGTACTAGACCGATCACCCCGACTCCTTGATGGAGCCCCATGAAGCTTCCAACATGTCTCACTAGTATGTCGCAGCTTGTGGCAGTAATTGCAGAACACAGTTTGATCATCATATCAGGAATGTTGGAAACTGATGTCAATCGTGTCTGAGTTACCTTCTTTCTTTAGCCACTGCCAGTTCTTTGGCATTAATGTGAGCTTATCTAATTATATTGCATTATGGGTCATCTTGTATGCGATTGATAGTTATAATTCTGAAGCATATGATTTTTTCTTACATGTGGGAATCTTTGCTTGGTGATACAATTTTTCCCTATTTTCATGGCAGTTTATTTTTGTTGTTTTCTTGGAGATGCCAAATCTGAATCTTCTTTTAATATTGGATGAAATAACGAAATATTCATAAATGATGCCATTCCTTTTGAGTTTTGACTAATGAGGGCCATCGTTTGCACAGACTTTTTGATTTGTCTTCAGCTCTTGGGCAACCCGAGCAGGAATATTATTTACAGCCTGTGGAACCAGGGAGAACTTTCTGTATGATTCTGAAGTCAATCTGCCCTGTTGATTTTTCTTTTGGAGGTGACCATTTATGGGACAGATTTAGTGTAAGTTTAGTTGAATCTTGTGATGTTGCTTGATTTTTCTATATATTCTTGGTGAGGCCTATTCATTGGAGCTATCATGCTTCTGAAGATGAATGGAAAGGCCTGAAGTAATGGGTCAATATAGTTTTAAGCTAGATGCTCTTTGAAGTTGAATAACTCCATGAGTTTAAGAAAATACAAAAAATGAGAAGTAAAGATATAAGGTGTCCTGTTGTGGTTTCTATCGGATTCACAATTGCTCTGTAATGGCTTGCTTTTATGAATGAATCTACTTTTTATTTTTTATTTTTTATACATATGTTGTGTAGTGAAAAAGCATGAATTATGTTTTCTTCTTGAGCATATTTTTATCTCATTACTGATACTTATGGTTCTTTTGGTGCTCCCTTATTTTATTGAAGATGGACTTATTTTTAGACTTCAATGAATGCGGTTGTATAATATTTAGAGTAAAATACAAATACCTCCCTCGAGGTTTCAGTTGAATACAAATTCCTCCCTCTGGTTTCAGAAATTACAGATTCCCCCTTATCAATTATTACACTAACAGATAAAATTAAGTTACTAAATTACCCTCGTCTTTGTTATAAAAAATATATTAAAAAAAAAATGATTTCTCTCTCTCTCCTCTCTCCCCCTTTGCCCCCATTCTCTTTCTACTTCACCAACACCACCCACCATTGATGCCGCAAGCTCCCACCATCTCTTATGATCATCTGCTGCAAGAAAAAAACTAAAGAATTCCTTACCCTTTGTATCAATGCTTTTTCAACAAAACAAGGCTTCCCATTTAGACATTAAAAGCTTCACCGCCTGCCTTTTATTTTCACATGCTTTTGCTTCAATCCTATTGTATGGGTAATTAGTGGAATTTTTTATTTTTTTATTTTTATTAATAAAGGCAGCCAAACAATAGAATTGCCATTGTTAGGAACTGCTGGAAATTTGTGTTAATGTATATAATAAGATAGTGGCATGTATATAATATGATAGTGGTGTTGGTGGTAGATAGTGGGGAGCTTCTATTTACACACACCCATTCCCCTCTTTACACATCTTTTTCAATAAATAATTGGTTCGGAAGTAGATTTCCGAAAATAAGTAATTGGTTCGGAAGTTGCTTTCCGAAAATAAACAATTGGTTCGGAAGTAGACTTCCGAATTTTTATTATTTTTTCGACAATCAACTTCCGAATGTGTTTATTTGATGTCTATAATAGTAATTTCACTTGAAAAAAAATTTATAATAAAAATAATTTTTATGAAGTGTGTGCAAAGAGGGGAAGGTGGATGTGTAAATAGAAGCTCCCGACATGAAGCCACTCTTAAAATTTTTTTCTCATTTTTTCCTAAAATGACCTTAACTTCTTACACTTGCCTCAGTTTTAATTAGGGATAAAATGATAAATTAAAACACCAATTCCACTTCCCACTTCCTATTCTCCACGTCTAAAGCAGTAACAAAAGTTCTGAAACTACACTGTCTCTTCACTGTATTTTGCATGTTTTTTTAAACTTTTACAGGTATATTTCCTGACAATGCTTTCCAATTACTGCATCACACAAAAGGAAGGTAAGCAATGAAAGACATATGTACTTAAAATAGTGCTTCTATTCAATTTTGTAGAATGTTTCTAACCCCGGATGCACTGTTATTTGCCCCCTTTCTTTCTTTCTCTCTTTTTTTTT